CAATAAAACCTTCACCAGCCTTATTAAAATATATATAATCATCTTCTCACAAAATTATTTGTTTTTCAGAAATAGTATAGGTTTGTAATTAATTCTGAGGCCCCGTCCACACGTATCCGGAAATTTTTGTATCCGCAATTTTTTTTTTACGGATACGGGTTGCGTCCACACGTGTCCGAAAATTTTTGTGTCCGTATCCGAAAATTTTACGAAAACGGATACGTGTGRACGGTGAAAACGATTCGAATACGCTGAGTGTGGACGCAAACATTTTCGTATCCGCAAAAAATAATTTGCGGATACAAAAATTTCCGGATACGTGTGGACGGGGCCTGAATGTATAATAGTTGCTTTTTTGGTTGCAGGAATGCTTTGTTTATAACCATTCCGGTATGACTGCAAGGATGGTTTTCTTACTGTAAATGCTAATCTCATAATTGTTTTTGTTTTTCAGGCCCTAAACCAACTATTGCGAAACCTACATTAATAACAGTGTTTACGAGTACTTTATCTTCATGTGGCAGCAAATGTAAAGTAAGAATGAATGAATAAAATGTGTTATCTCTCATTAAGGATCTTCTTTAGTGCTACAAACTTTGTTCGGTTAGAACACTATGGCATGCTCTTTGCAACATGGACGACCACGAGATGGTGTTGCGTTTCTGTGACTGACAAAAATGCAAACGATCGTAACACCCCATACAAATCGCAGGCATATACGGGAGAATCTTGACCTCGGTCGTTGTACCGACCTCACCTAAGATTCACCCCTACGACCATGAGTTCCGTAATGGCAAGAAGTCCTAATTACTGATAAGGTATTCATATATTATTTTAGACATTACCAACTCCACCCTCCCAACTACACATGGCGATAATCATGGTCTTGCTTGGCGTGGTAATACTGGTGCTGATTGTAATTGCTTCAGTTTTAATGAATAAAGCAAGACTAAATACAAGAAGGTATTTTAATAAGGTATTTTAAGACGCTTAAAAAGTGCAGTTCCTTGGCCAGGGCTGCTAAAATAGAAACTTGTAATTTTACCTCATATATTGACGTCATCATGATCACTATTATTATGAGAAAATACGTCATTTGCATGACCAACATCATCATCATGGTCAGTCACCCTCTTTAAATAAATCCCAATGTATTGTATCTTGTTGTATCACCTTCATGAACGTTACCATTATTATTATTATCGTCATTACTATGTATACTTCAGATTATCATACCTGTCCTCATTCGTGTTAACATTTATCTTAGAAAACGCTCGATGAGACAGCTCTTTGTCACAAACATGACATATTTAGCAGGTTTGAGAATAACTGATATTATTTTATATCTTTTCATAATTTAAAATTTAGAATTCATAGCCGAACTTATTTCGGGGGCATGTTGTTGTTATAGGGTACAAACACCTAATAACTATAATAATATATCATAAAGTTGAATGAATACTGAAAATACTGTATAGCTTTCTTCATCGGTGCTTAACAATATATTTTACATAATTCTAAGAAAATAATGAGCATGGCCAAAACCGTGACGACGTTGTTGAAATCGACCAATCATATGATGAAGATGGATACCTCTGCCCAATAGATAATAATGCACCTCGTGACAAACGATATGAGCCAAAGGAACTGTACATTAAAGGTGAATAAAAGCAGTACTCCTTTTTCCACAATGTCATCAATTCTTCCTCTTCCTCTTCCTCTTCCTCTTCCTCTTCCTCTTCCTCTTCCTCTTCCTCTTCCTCTTCCTCTTCCTCTT